AAGAAAAATGACAATATAGGCCCAAGACAGGGGGAGTATGCGGGGATCCCAGAAAGACTCTTTGATGGTTGCCAGGGAGAGGGTCTTTATGGTTACTTAGTCTTCCTAGTACCAGAGAGAGAGCTGATGGAAGAAAAATATATATTTGCATGTGCTAAGAAACTGCCGTTTCTGTGTTGATGAGTAGTAAACATGATAAATTACTGTGTTTTGGTAAATAAAAGGGCTCTTCTCCAGGACTGTGGGCAACCCTGTCTGGGCAACACCCATGTAGGAATTGGCAGAAGAAATCCATGCTTGCTTCACTCTGTGACTCTAGCTTCCCAGATTGGAGAAGCCAAAACTGCTTGGCAGCTATCAGCAACTCACTGCTATGAAAACAAGGATAAACTTAACCCCTTAACATGACAGGGACTTACCATCTGAACCCATTCCAAACTTCTGCAAAATTGTTACATCAGCTATAGTGGCATGTTATTTCTTAGACAAGCTGAGGATGTTCCTACCTCTATACCTTTGCATGCAAATCTCCTTGCCCTAGAATCTGTGCCCCTCTGCTGCTTTACCTGAAGTTCCTCCTTATTTGAATGGTAACTTCAAGTCCCATCTCCTATAAGCACATCTGCCCATACTATTTATTTAGCCTTAGCAACATGCTATCTTCTACTGTCCTAAAATTCATTTTTAGCACAGATACCCTACCTCCCCAATTAAAAATGTAATTTTTTGTTGTCAAGAACCCTGTTACAAACTTACAGATCCCCAAGACTTATCTGTATACTTTGCATAAGGCAAAGATACCCTACCCAAAGTTATTGGTAATGTGTTCTGCCTATATTAATAGCTAGTGTTGCCCAGGCACAGTGGCTCATACCTGTAATCCCAGCAATTTGGGAGGCCAAGGCGGGAGGATTGCTTGAGTCTAGTTTGACACTGCAGTGAGCCATCATCTGCATCACTGCACTCCAGCCTGGGTGAGAACACAAGATCCTGTCTCTAAAAAACTGACTTAATTAAAAAAAAAGCCGGGCGCGGTGGCTCATGCCTGTAATCCCAGCACTTTGGGAGGCCGAGGCGGGTGGATCACAAGGTCAAGAGATCGAGACCATCCTGGTCAACATAGTGAAACCCCGTCTCTACTAAAAATACAAAACATTAGCTGGGCATGGTGGTGCGTGCCCGTAATCCCAGCTACTCAGGAGGCTGAGGCAGGAGAATTGCCTGAACCCAGGAGGCGGAGGTTGCGGTGAGCCGAGATCACGCCATTGCACTCCAGCCTGGGTAACAAGAGCGAAACTCCATCTCAAAAAAAAAAAAAAAAAGCTAATGTTTACTGTGTATTTATTATGAGTCAGCTGTTTTAAGTACTTAAGAACGTTTATTATGTGTCAGCTGTTCTAAGTTCTCAGGCTAAGAGGTTTGTCATTCCATAGAGAAAGGCAAGAAGGTGAGAGAGGGTAAGAGAAGTTGAGAAATGAGGGAAAAGAAAGAGAGCAAGAGAAGGCCAAAGTTGTCCTTTTATGAGGAACTCATTCTCTCAAAAGCAGCATTAATAATTTATAAGGCCAGTTACTCTATGACCCAAACACTCCCATTAGGCCCCACCTCTCAAAACCTCTGCACTGGGGATCAAGCTTCCAACACATGAATTTTGGGAGACACATTCAAACCATTTGTGCTCTTTCTACCTGGATGCCAAATACATGTCCAGAAAAAATATTTCTGATTTTGTGGAAGAGCAAAAAGTTGAACAACAAGAACTGTATATATTTTGGCAGCTACTATATGGCAGCTGTTCAGAGAATTAATTGAAGAAATCACCCCAAAGATATTTTCCAAGAATTACTTCTTGGCTGGGTGCAGGGGCTCATTCCTGTAATCCCAGCATTTTGAAGGCTGAGGTGGGAGGATTGCTAGAGTCTGGGAGTTCGAGACCAGCCTGGCCAACACAGTCAGACCTCATCTCTACAAAAAACTTAAAAAATTAGCCAGATATAGTGTCACATGCCTCTGGTCCTAGCTCCTTGGGAGGCTGAAGTCAGAGAATCACTTGAGCCCAGGAATTCAAGGTTACAGTGAGCTATGATCATGACACTGCCCTCCAGCCTGGGCAAGAGAGTAAGATCCTATCTCAAAAAAAAAAAAAAAAAAAAAAAATCATTGCTTAAAAGATATCAAGTGACCAGGTGCGGTGGCTCATGCCTGTAATCCCAGCACTTTGGAAGGCCAAGGTAGGTGGATCACGAGGTCAAGAGCTCAAGACCAGTCTGGCCAAGATAGTGAAACCCCGTCTCTACTAAAACTACAAAAATTAGCCAGACACAGTGGCAGGCACCTATAATCCCAGCTACTCGGGAGGCTGAGGCAGGAGAATCGCTTGAACCCAGGTGGCAGAGGTTGCAATGAGCCAAGATCACACCACTGCACTCCAACCTGGGCGACAGAGTGAGACTACATCTCAAAAGAAAAAAAAAAAAGAAGATATCAAGCTACCCAAAAATGCTTTGGAACCACATTAGGGTTACCTACATAGTTAACACATAGGTTAACAACAAGGTCCAATTCTCCACTAATTGGGTTGCTTAGACCAAATGGACAGGGCAGTTCTAATCCATCTGCAGGACTAGGAAGGAACTTCTGAGAAGGCAGGGGTAGGCTAAAGGCCAGTGTCAAAATCTGTTTGTTGTGTGACTTGGGAACACTGGTTATTTCCTCTGAGTTCTTCATTTGCAAAATGAAGCCACTAATACTTCAGAGGGAAGAGTAAATAGGGCAATGGATGTAAAATGCTGTCCCTAATCTACAGTAAGTGAGTAAATGCTAGCTCTCCATTTGCCTCTGGATAGAAACCAAAATTAGCCCTACCTTGCATTTCTCCTGCCCCTGCCACCTGTGCCCACTGCAATCTACCTACACTGTGGCACTAGGAAACTCCAAAGCTCTTGACCTTCAATGGCTCCTCACGATCCAAAAAGATCAACCCCCAATTCCCTAAAATGGCCTCAGTCCCCTTTTGTCGCAATTTCTTACCACTCCTTTCCCCTCCTAAACTCTAACCCAGCTTCCAAAGACCCTCTCACTTCCCCAGTGGTCCTTCTGAATCCACACACAGACTGCAGCCCCTTAGAATTTGTTCCTCACCTACATGATATGAAGTTAGCTGCATATAATTCTAATCTCTCCACTAAAAGATAAACTTCTTGAAGTAGAGTGTTTTACTCATTACTATATCTGCTATAGCACACAATGCTTTGTACATGGCAGTCAGAGCTGACATTTACCAAGAGCTGACTATATGCTGAGTGCTATTCTAAGTGCCTTACGTGAACATATGAACTCATTTAATTATCACAACAATTTTGGGATAGGCACAATTATTCTCTCCATTTACAGATCAGGAAACCGAGACCCAAAGCAAAACCTGTCCAAGGTTATACCACTAGGGAGTGAGAGGGTCTGGGTTCAGACCCAAGCAGCCTAGCTGCAGAACCCACGTTCTTAACCACGATGCTACAGTCAACATTCAATCAATTTAGCTAATGTATGTAAAACAGCTTCACAAACTATAAAGGACTATAAGCCACAATAAATCAAAAGTGCAAACAATATAGGTTTTTGATATCTCTAAGAAGGAGAAACAGTAGTATATGAAGGTTTAGTTTAGAATCAGACCAGAGTTCCAATACCAGCTCTAATCACTTTCTGTGTCAAGTTATTAATCTTTTCAGCACCAACCTCTGAAAGTTTAATCTGCCAGATCAAACTATTTGTTAAGCTGGATATGAGAACTGAGATGACTCAGGTAGAACAGAACGTGTTTATCAGATATAATTGGTCAATAAATTTTGGCTGGAAAACAGTCAAATTGTAAAACCAAGGAATTTTCTTTTGTAAGTTATTAACCAACAATTATAAACAGTATTAAACAATCATCATAAGGACATAACTTTACGATTTTTTTATTGCACTTCAGGCCTGTAAAAGAGTCAAATAACATTAATTATCTCTAATAAGAAAATAGGTGTGAGTCCCGCCTCTGGGCATAAGGCTCAAACAGCAGTTGGAAAGCTGACTCATTAAAGCAAATGCAAAGGAAATACGAAAAGCACACATAAGCAGTGGGAAAATGCCCAGTGAAGTGTACTGACAAACACAAGTGCATCCAAATGTGTATGTTCTGGAAAGCATGCTATATAATCGGCCCAAGGGGTGAAGAGCAGAGACGTTTAACACAGGGACTGTTAAAGAACTAACATTTTGTGTAGGTGCAGAGATCAGAACTAAGCACGACAGGAGGCTGATTTCAGCTTAAGTTCATGGAAGAGGGACCGGCACCGGCTCCCTTGGGCTGCGGTGAGTCTATCCACGGAAGATACCCAGGCTCCAGACATGAGGCAAGGGGCAGAGGGAACTCTCTCCCTGGGCGGGAAGCCTGAACAACTCTGGAGTCCCTTCCTACCTTTGAGCAGGGCGCGGAAGGGAGGACAGGGAGACATCCTGCTCAGAATGAGACTGGACCTATTCTTAACAATCTTTTCTTGCGGGGGAGGGGGTCTGAAATGTAATCGCTGGGGAAAGGTGCGTTAGGGCATCCGGGGGGTGACACCAGTGCAAAATGCACCCAGACATCCAGAGATGGAGCCTCCGTGGCTCTCAGGACCCAAGGGCCTGCAAAGGACATTTGCCGACGCAGACCTCCGACTCCACTCGAGGTGCCTGCTTCGCCAAAGCCGCTTCTAGACAGCCCCCGGCCCCCGGCGCCCGGCCACCAGCTGCCGCCCCCGGCCCTCTCTAGAGAAGCGGAGGTCAGCTGTGCCAGAGGCCTGACGGGGGCCGGGGTCGTGGGATGCCCGCGGGTAAAGGGTCTGGGGAAATGGGCCCAGGACGTGGAGTGGGGCTCAGGCCGGCGCCCCGAGGCCGGTTAGAAGGCTTTGCCAGCTGCAATGCCAGGGGCCAAGGTCGCCCTGGGTCTCCAGGACGCCAGCCTCCAAAGCACTCACCAGTCTGCTGCCGCGCAGCAGTCGCACTGCCAGGCCCTCCATCAGCGCCGCAAGCCAGACACACGCAGCTCAGCGCCGCTGGTCGCTAGCCAGCGCCAGAGAGCCGCCGGCGCGAGGCCACACCCACTCAGTCCCCGCCCCGCACGCGCCCACCTTCATCCCTACCCCCTGCTGCCTACGGAACCTCAAGAGAGACAAACCGGCCCCGCCTCGCTTTTGCCCTCCGTCCTGCTCACGCGAGACTTGAGCAAGGCGGGGGGCGGGAAGGTAGTCGGAGACACAACAAATATGGCGGCGGCGACTGCGACGGTGACGAACACGGCGGCGGCGGCGGCGGCGGCGTTGAACAAGGCGGTGGGGTTTATTCGGTGCGGTTGTCAGGAAGTAAGTAGTAGGCTGCCGGCCCCGACGGCGGCGGCGCTGCGGGACAGGGCGGATAAGAAGGAGGGGCTGGAGCGAGAGCTCGGTTCGCGGCGGGCGGGCTGATCCGGCCGGAGACTCAGTTCAGCGGAGGGACGGGCGTGGTCGCTCTGTGGGCAGGTGATGGCCCGGGACCTCCCTAGCCGGAGTGTGGTGGGTAGCGGCGCCTGTGGCCGCAAGAACCCGGAGGGAGCGGGTTCTCCAGCTGTCGGCGTCGTCGAGCAGGAGCTGGGAGGCTTCGGGGCGGGGACTGCTCCCTGACTCTGACAGGTGGTTGTGCGGGAGGCGTCCCGAGGTCTGCGTCTTCTCGGGGTCCCGGGGGCTGGGAGTCAGCCCGGGTGCGGGTCTCCTCGGCGTTTCGAATCCTGGCGAGGATGACGCGCGGAATCCTGGTTAGGCTGCCGCCCCGACGCCGGTCCCAGGCTGCTCGTTAGGAGAAGGAGGTTTAATGTCTTTAATGATCCTGCCAGGATCCGTTTCTACTGCATGGACACTCTTATTTAGGGAGCGTGTGAGATTTGGGAAGGACATTATAGTAAATTACTATTCAGGTTCATTCGGGGTTTAGATCTCTGGATCAACTGTGTGGAGTGCGAGTGGCCAAGCCTAGCGTGCTCCATAACTGGATGTGAAGCTAAACGAGTTCTAGCAAACACTAACCACGTGGCCTACTTAAGAGTCCCCTTGATGTGCTGGTCAGAGCCCGAAAGAGGTGTGACAAGCAGGAGAAGAAATAAAGGTGCCTCAAATTGTGTGATCTGAGGAAATTCAGTTTTGAAAGAACAGAACTTTTTTTAAAACATCTGAGCTAACAATTTTAAAAATTCAATTTAATTTTGATTTATGTCGTGTTTTTAACACAGCTAGACGTTATCGTTATTGATGAGCGTTCGTTACAGTGAATTGAAATGTCTGGTGTTATTTTCCCCTAACAGCCCAGGATGTTTCCCAAGAAAACCTTGACTGTTTTGTGTTGTGATCAAGAGGATAGGAAAGATGGGATTCAGCCCTTATCGGGTGTGCTTTTTTTTTTTTTTTAAAGCCCTTTCCCATTTCCCTACATAGGACTAATGCATTGTTTTTATGCAACTGTAGCTGTTCAGCAGTACTAAGCTTGACCGTTTTAGAAGTGTACTGTGACAAAATGAAGTTAATAATTTAAATTTAGAAAGACATTAAAAATCTTGCCAAAAACGAATCCACCAATGAAAAAACGGTAGTCACACCAGCACTTTATTTTTTGGTGATCCTATGGAGCTTCTCCTGAAGTGAAGCTACTGCTTTGTTCTTTGATTATCGGTCAGTTCCTTTCCTTATCAGCTGATGGTAATAAAATTGGCGTAAGTTATTAGCTGATTCAACCTGTAGATGCTAATTAAATTTTTATCCTAAAGGTTTTGATTTGTGGTATGTGTTTTCTTTTTCTTTTCTTTTTTTTTTGTTAATGCAGATCTCTGTATGGCTTTTCAATTTTAGTTGAAATTCTCTCTCCATGGCCTTTTGGAGTCCCTTGCTGTATCTCCAGAGTAAATTTCAATTACTCTACATTTCATCAATGTTGGAGTGGCAAGAAAAAGGAGGAAGTGATTTGGGGTGAAGAGGTTAGATTGTATAATTTCTCTTCTGGATTTCTTTCAACATGGTTTTACTTATGTTTTATTTTTGTTTTGATTTCTGATTTCTGAGAGCCTCATAATTTCCCTTTTTCCTTCAAGAGTTTTCAGAACAAGAGTTCTGAAATCAGGAATTATGTTCTATTTTCCAAGGCCCATGTTACTCCATAAAAACCAATCCTTATTTGTCAGCCTCCTCTATTTATATGTGTTCTATAGCAGAGTAGATCTCAGTGACCATAATTATTAGGCTATGGAAATAAACACATCTATTGAACTGAAATCACTTCGTGTGTATAGGCCTGCCTAACCCATAAATTATTACATAAGTTAGTTGCTAATACTGTATTCTTCGTTATGGTTAGTAACCCATGAGGAGACTTCTCATGAATGCTAGATGAACGAAACATATCCTGCTGTTCCCTAATCATGTTCTCAAAATTCTCCCCCAGTTTATAAAAAAGATAAAAGGAAGATTATCTTAGAGAGCCTCTTCCCTGGTTGTCTCATAGTTGTGAATGCCTTCTAGTTTGCATCTCAATACCTGTGTTTTAAATTATTAGCTACTGGTTCAGAGGTTGGGGGAGGTGCACATACATAATTGTGTGTGCACGTATATATGCTTGTATTGACCAACAACTTCCCATTTATGAGACTGAAAAAGAAAGAGCAGAGGGCTTCATATAAAATAAATCCTTTATCAGAAACCAAAGAAGGTCAGAGATTAGCTTAAATTACCTGCTTGAGGTAGAGGTTTTCCTGTCCTTTGGGATATCAAAGCTTAATTTTCATATACCTCTCTTTCCTCTACTGCCTTGCATAGCCTCTGGTTGTTTTCTAAAAGCATTAATTTTAAGCTTTGAATGATAATTCGGGGGAAGCTACTGGCATGACAATACTTTAGGTATACCCTAGCCAGTTTATATAGATATGCACCTATACCCCATGACAGTCCATACTGAATTCAACTTAACTTTAATCAGAATAATCACAGGAAGGACTTGAGAATTTTGCTATATCATAAGGAATGATCATCATAAAGTATGGGAATATTGTTCTCTTTGGTTGATATGATTAGATATCTTAGTTCAGGTTGCTATAATGAATTGCCATAGACTGGGTGGTATAAACAAACATTTATTTCTCACAGTTCTGGAGGCTGGGAAGTCTTAAGATCAAGGTGCCAGCAGATCAGGTATCTGGTGAGGGCTTGCTTTCTGGTTATATCCTCTCATGGCAAAGAGCAGAGAAGAAGCAAGATCTCTAGATCTCTTCTTACAAGGCACTTGTAGTCCCATTTCGAGGGCTTTACCTTTATAACCCAGTTTTCTCTCAAAGGCCCCAACTCCAGAAACTATCAGATTAGGGGTTAGAATTTCAACATATCAGCTTTTAGTGAGGTAAACATTCAGTCCATGACAATATAAGCAGAAAGAGTAGATCTGAGTTGTAACAACACTACCCAAATCTGTAATAAAACTGGAGAATACTTAAGTATATTTCTTGTTCAGATGACATGATATTACACATTGAAATTTTGTGTAAATTAAGTCATTTTTTGGCTAACAAACTCCAAAGTATTGAGTTCATGCCCAGTATCAGAAAGATGCCGCTGCAAAAATTAGAACTTGTGGATTTTTCTAAAGTATATTTTGTTACGTTTGCAAAGGTTTTAAAATTTATCAATGCCTTAGAGGCATCTCTGGGTATCCGTTAATTTTTGGAGTTCCTAGATTAAACTTTGAGATCTGAGACTGATGATAATTACATTAAAGACAGGAAAATGGCTCAGATAGAAAAACCTTTACTTTCTTTCTATAAGAGGAAGTCTTCTGTAGTTGCTTTTTTTTTTTTTTTTTTTTTTTTTTTTTAAGTAGAGATGAGGTCTCGCTGTGTTGCCTGGACTGGTCTTGAACTCCTGAGCTCAGGCAGTCCTCTTACCTTAGCCTCCCAAAGTGTTGGGATTACAGGCACGAGTCACCACATCCAGCCTAGTTTCAGAATTATTACTATTTTTCAATTTATTGTGCTAAGAAATACTGACTTGAGATGCAGAAAGCTGAGTTTTGAGCCCAAGACTCTGCTTTAGGCACCTTTTGTTCTTATGGGTCTATAGACCGGGGCTCTGAAGCATCCATCATGCCCTGTGTGTATGGATATAGGGAATAGAGGCCATACAGGTCAAGTAGGTGCAAAAATGCTTAGGGATGAAATGACACCTACTTTTTAAATCACGACAGGATGTTTAAGGTTATAAAGCGTACTAATATATTTATAATTCTAATTTAAGAAGAGCTTTTCTTCATGTTTGCAGTGTTACAGTGTTATCTTCTCTATTTCATAGGCATTCTTTTTTTTTCTTTTTTTTTTTTTTTAAGTTTATCACGAATTATGGTTGAAAAGCAGCATACAATTTATGGCAGGGAACACAGTGAAGTTTATAATGTGACAATGTGATAATAGCCAAGACTGTCAAAATATGCCAGCCATCTTCTGTAATTAGGCTCATTTGTGTTCTTAAACTTGAGATGCATGTATAAAAATATCATTTTCTTCTGCCTGCTTTCTGGCAGTCTCCTGTGTTTTTCCTGCACTGTCACATGTTGTACTATTGCAATGTTATGCTTTCTAATCAAGATTTGGTAAGGTTTATCTTGCTTCTCGAAGCCTGTCAAAGTATATTCAGACATTTTCCAGTGGAAATGTATCAGTTTTCATGTGAAGTGATTGGCAAGAAGTGATGCTGAGTTGCAATGTAAATACTGGGATTTCTTTCTTAATTATAGCTTTTATAATTAGAACACAGACAATCGATAGGGCTATACAGCTTTTACAAATTAAAAAAAATTACTTTCCCGGATCTTATTCTTGATAGTCTTTTTTATTGGAATTGACTAGCTCACATTTTCCCACCAAGGGAAAATTTAAAGGACAGATAATCAGTAGAATCAACTGTAGGCACAGAACAAATAGTAACACAATGATAAACAGAGAACCAGTTCAAATAAACGTGGTAAGATGGGGAAAAAAAGAACTGTTCAAAAGCCAGCAATAATCCTTAAGATTCAGAAGGTTGGGCCAGACTAAAGCAAGTGATTTAAAGAGGTGGCCTATAAGTATAATATGCAGAGATGAGTTTGAGAAACTGTAAAATGATTTGTAAAATTGCAAATTGGGATTGAGACTAAGGTGGAACATGTTTGTTTCATTGTAACTAAGGAACAAATAGATACTCAGTATATCCTCCAACCAAGCTGATGAACTGATAGAAAAAGGGGAATAACTGAATCAGGGGCACTGAGAATTTTTAATCCAAGTTATAACCTTTTTTTTTTTTTTTTTTTTTTGCTGCAGAAATAATTATTGGAAAAACAGCTACCATGATAGCCTACCATATGTGATACATGTCACAGTATACTTTATGTATACTTACCTATAAAACTTAAGATGGTACTGCAAGTTGGATTATGATTCCGTTTTACAAAATAGAAAACTAAGGCTGAGAGAGGTCCCTATTCATAGTCTTAAACCTAGAGTCGGTTTGACCTAATAGCAATATATAGTTGTTCCTCTGTATCCAGTAGGTACTAGTTCCAGGACCCTCTGTAGATACCAAAATTTGTGGGTGCTCCAGTCCTTTATATAAAATGGTATAGTATTTGCATATAACCCACAATCTCATCTGTTTGTATACTTTAAACTCTAGATTCTTTATAATACCTAATACAATGTAAATGCTATGTAGTTATACTGTATTGGTTAGGGACATATGACCCCCCACCCCCCCACCCAAAGTGTGGGAAACTCCATCTCTACTAAAAATACAAAGAAATCAGCCAGGTGTGGTGGCAGGCACCTGTAATCCCACTTACTCTGGAGGCAGAGGCAGGAGAATCGCTTGAACCCAGAAGGCGAAGGTTGTGGTGAGCTGAGATCGCATCATTGCACTCCAGCCTGGGCAAAAAGAGGGAAACTCCATCTGCACACGTTCAGTATAGATGCTACCATCCATTTTCTTCAAATGATTTTGTTTTGCAGTCGGTTGATTCAACAGATAACAGAACCTGTGGATATAGAGAGCTGACTGTATTCTATTTATCCAGAGGATAGATTTTCAGTAGCCTCAACTTTCTAGACAATTTTCTAAAAAATAGACTTTTCTACCTGAAAAGGAGGAGTAATACTAATAAGTTTTAAAAGCCCCCTGGGTAGCTTCTAAGGGAGGAAAGGAATGATTCACAAGTACTGCATTAAGAAAAGTGAGGATTCAGTTACTTCTAAGTCACTATTTGTCTAAATGTGTTTGGAATAAAGAACAGACTAGATGTGAAGAGAGAAGGAGATAAGAAGTATGAAAATAAGGTATATCAGTCTGAAGCCAGGAAACAGGGAAAACAACAGCCCTGTGTTACTAATTGAGTGGTTGTAAAGTATAATAATTCATATTAGTGGTATGTCAAAGGTTGGTCTATTTCCAGTAGATTTCTAGTTAAGTCAGAATAGAAGTTTTGATTCTTAAAAAGTTGGTCATATTTTTGTAAATTGGAAAATCTGGTTTTGTGGAACCCCCATCATTCCTCAACCCTGCAGCTCTACCATTTAAAAACTTAGGCTGAAAAGGTCCAATAACAGTCTATTATTGAAGAAGATAAACAAAGCTTGGGGACTTAAATTACTGTGATAGCAAGACTTATTAATAAATAAGACTGTCTGGTATGGCTGCAAGGACAGATAGGCCAGTGGAGCAGAATAGAGAATCCAGAAGCAGAGCCACATACATGTAACCACTTGACATAAAAAGGTGACATTGGAGCTTAGTAGAGAAAAGGTGATCTGTTAGGTACACATTGCTGGGACTGTGGGGAACATTCCCGTGTGAGACCCCTAAAAGGCGTGAGTCTCACTATACGGTGAGTTTGATCCCAAACACAGTTTCCTACTGGAGGCAGTCGAGCTATCCGGAATATAGGAACTGAAAGATGAATGATCAGTTTCTAATATCAACCACAATATCGTTTGGGCCTAAAACTATGCCTAAAACTATGCGTTGCTGCTAGACCGAGTAACCTCCTGCTGGCAACCGGTTCCTGCTTTTAACTCTCTTTTAAGAATAAGTTTTAACCTTTTCTTTACTTACCTGACTGCCTAATGGTTTAACTGTCGATATTTGCAAAGCAAATGCCACCATAAGGATGGCTTTGATTCCTGACTCAGAGATTCCTGAATGGGGAAATTGAGTTAAGTTGAGTTAGGAGTAGACAAAGGAGAATCCAGTTAAAAGATATTCTGATGAGCAAAACCAGAAAACCTTTTCACATCTCAGTTCTAAAACAAGATCAAACCGGAGATACCTGCAGCCAGGAGGAATAATGTCTGGATGCAAACAAGCTTTGTGATTACAGGAAATTCTGTTACTTTTTACAGCCACTGATTGCATATCTGACTTCTCTATTGTATAGGCCATGTAAGGTATACATTTGCATTTCCTCTTGCAACCATTGTGTATTTGACTTCTCTATTGTATAGGCCATGTGAGGCATACATTTACATTCCCCTTACTATGACATAAACCAGAGCCAAGAAAGTGTATTTATTCCTGGCCTTTGAAAAATAAAATTTGCTGTTTAGGCACAGCCTATCAGCCCTCCAGACGCCTGGCTTTCTCTCTCTCTGTCTTTATTATTTTCTCAGGCGCACTCCCTCTTCCAGGTATTGGGACCCTCTTGCAGGTCGAGAGACCCCCGGGCAGACGTGCCTACCCGTCCGGACGGTCCACGACATGGGACAGTTGGATATCTCTTTGGGAAAACGTATGCTTTGACTCTTACCTCATACCATACACAAAACTCAAGTCCAGATAAAAATATGAAAGGTTAAAAAAAAAAAGCATTTAGAAAAAAGTATAGAACATCTTCAAGTAAGATACAGGCAAGGATTTCTTAACTAGGACACAACTCTAAAGGATAAAAATGAGTAAACTGTATTATATTAAGAACTTCTGTTCATCAGAAATTAAGAAAGTGAAAAGGCAACCACAGTGGGGTAAGATAAGATACACTGATACTTAAGATATACTTAAGATACTTAAGATATCCTAATAAAGGACTCATATTATAAAGCATTTTTACATACTAGAAAAAGACAACACAATAAAATAAAAGGTATGAGCAGACATTATGCAACAAAGGGTATCTAAGTGGCTAATTAGCATATATTTAAAAGTTTACATTTTCATTAGTCATCAAGGAATGTAAATTGAAACTAATGTGATAACCACCATACACCTACCAGAATGGCTAAAATGAAAAAGGCAAACAGTGCCCAAGTATTGTCAGGGATGTGGAGTGACAAAACTCATTTATTGCTAGTGGGAATGTAAATTGCTATAATCACTTTGAAAATCTATTTCGCATTATCTAAAACTGAATATATGCATGCTTTTGACCCAGTAATTTCACTCTGTACAACCAACAGAAATATGTACGTAATCAAAAATCATGTAGTGATATGTCCATAGAAACTTTATTCACAACAACCAATTATGGGAAATTACCCAAATGACCTAAAAACAGTATAAGAGATAAATTAGTTGTGGCATGGTCATACAGCAGACTCCAGCAGTAAAAATGAGCCAACTTCAGTTGCATGCAACAATATGGATGAATCTTACAATTATAATGATGAGTGACAGAAGCCAGACAAAGGTTCATAGTGTATGATTCCATTTAAATAAAGTTAAGGAACAGAATTTACAGAGTCAGAGGTCAGGACAGTTGTAACCCTTGCTAGGGCAGAGGGTCCTAACATTGGAAGGGTACACGAGGCAGGCTTCTGGGATGCTGGCAGCCATCTATTTCTTGATTGTGGTGCTGATTTTATGGATCTGTTCATTTTGGGACAGTTCATTGAGCTCTGCCCTTATGACTTATGTGCTTATCTGTATATGCACAAGACTTGGAGAATAAGTTAAGCATATGTGCTGAAAGTAATTTTTTAGATACCTACCACTGGCTGGAAGCTTTTTTGGATGGAAAATTATTCATTAAATAGTTTGAGTTTAGAAAAAAGATTTTACCATAAGGATATTTACCAGAGAATCACACTTATTTGCATAAAAATTGTTTTTACTGGAAGAAAAGATCTTTTGTGTCCCAAGTGCTAGACTTCCTCATCTTATTCTTCCTAGAAAACTTTGGCTATTTTATCTGTGAACTTGGGCCATAAACCTATGTGAAGACCAGCTTTTGATTGCAGAACCCACAAGAGACTTTCTCTCTCTACGCTAGCGTCAGGGATTTTCTTTTTCTTTTTTTTCTTCCTAGTCTTGGAGTTGATAGGATGATTAAGTAGTAGAGGTGGTGATTTGGATATTTCTAGAACGGGGGTTGGGAAGCTAAGGCCTATATAGGTCAAATGTGGCTCAATGCCTGTTTTTATAAAATCTTATTGGAACATAGCCACACCCATTTGTTTACATATTGTCTGTGGCTGCCTGTTGTATGCGGCTGCTTACAGTGACAGAGTTGAGTAAGTGAAGCAAAGATGAGCATGGCTTGCAAAGCCTAAAAAATTTACTATCTGGCCCTTCATAAAAACTTTGCAACCCCTAGTTCTAGACCACTTATTTATAGACGACTCATGTGAACATGAGGTCAAAGAGCCTTTGCTGGTAGTCACTAGCTGCATGCAGGTATTTCTATTTAAATTAATAAAACTGAAAACTCAAGTCATTTGTATTAGCCAAATTTCAGGTGTCTCAGTAGCCATATGTGGCTAGTAGCAACTGTGTAGGACAGCACAGATAAGAAACATTCCATCATCCAGAAAATAGTCTCATTCTGTCTTCCAGGATGGAGTGCAGTGGTGCGATCACAGCTCACTGCAACCTTGACCACTCAGACACAAGTGATTCTCTTACTTCAGCCTCCTGTGTAGCTGGAACCATGGGCATGTGCCATCACACCCAGCTAATTAAAAATAAATTTTTTTTGTAGAGACAGGGCCTTCCTATGTTGGTCTCCAGCCTGCTTGGCTTCTTCGTCGTCTTCATCGATAAGCTCTGCTTGTGTTATTTCTTTAATCTGAACTTGTTTTCTGTTTTTTCTGCATTTGAAATTTCTTCCCATCCTCTATGACTAAGTTTGAACCCCAATTTATATTTAATTATTAAATATATTGACTTCTTTACCATTTTGTGTATATCTTGTTTAGTTCAACAGGAAGATTATAAGATACTCAAAGGCAGGCACTGTGTTTTCTCTTGCATAGTATAGTGTTTTGTACAAAATAGTTTTTGTCATTTGTTTACTATGTACTAGATCTCCCTAAATAGTGTAAAATTATTTCAGTTTTTTTTTCTAGGTATAACAAACTGTAAACGTTAAACGAGCAAAGATGGGTGAAAAAAAACCAGAGCCTTTGGACTTCGTGAAAGATTTTCAGGAATACCTGACTCAGCAGACCCATCATGTGAACATGATTTCTGGATCAGTTAGCGGGGACAAAGAAGCAGAGGCTCTTCAGGGAGGTAGACTCATTTTAATACTATGAAATAATTCACTTTTTATGCATGTGCTATGATTGTGTGTAGCTATTACTGTGAAGACCATTGAACATTAATGTGAATCATGCTGTTTTTTCTAGAAAGATACAGGGCATTTTTTCCCTTTCTTTAAACATAACAGACCTTTGCTGGAGAGTGCTTAACATGGTTTGGAGATGCATTATGGTCTTGTTGGAAGGTTAGGGGCTCCAAATACCTTTCTTGTTCTCCAGTTTTTATGAGCTGACATTAGACACAAGGAACACAAAGGGGATTGGAACATCAGCTTCACTATACAAACCATTAGGCCATCAGGAAGTCTGGATTCCACCTGAGACCGAAATAGGGGTTTCAGTTTCTTCTCTCTTAAAATGAAGAAAGGGCTGTCCGTGTTTATCTGTCCAAGACGAGGAATGAACATAGAGAAAGTGGTGACCTCCTTGAGCCTACTAGAGGTAAATTTTGCCTGATTTTCTTGCCACATAAAAACTGGAATTTGTTCCTAACTCAGAGATCAGCAAACTAGCCTGTGGGCCCCATCTGGACTGCTGTTTTTGTATGGCTTGTAACCTAAGAATGGTTTTTAGATTTAAAGATGGTTTTCAAAGTGTCAAAAAAAGAAGAATGTCATGATATATGAAAATTCTGTGAAGTTCAAACTTGAATACACATAAATGTAATTGAAACATGGATATGCTCATTTGTTTACGTATTTTCTATAGCTGTTTTTGTTTGTTTTGCTAAAACAGCAGAGTTGAGTAGTTGTGTCAGGGACCATGTGGCCCACAAAGCCTGAAGTATTTACTATCTCATACGTGTAGAAAAACTTTGCTGACCCCTGACCTACTTAGTCTGTGTAGGGCCTTATAATCCAGGGACTGGCAGCAGGGACCAGGCATCATCTGGGAGCTTGTAAGAAATACAGAACACCAGACACTACCCCAGATCTGCTGAATTATAATGTGTGTTATTTTAATAGGATCCCCCAAGTAATTCATAAGCACATTAAAATGTGATAGTCACTGGTTTGGGAAAACAGTGGGAGAGAGGAAGATACTGAGGCTTGTCCCTTTAATGCCGTATAGCCCTCTGGGATACTGGACTTGTGTCAACCAGCAGAATCACTTCTAGTGAGGAGTGAGGAACTGGTGGAGCAGGGGTCTTGAATTGTGCATGCCCACTGTTACCTCCTGAGATGGAGTAGAAGACCTTTTCCCATGAAGCTGTAGGAATGGAAGTTTCCCAAACAGGATTCAAGAGACCAGAGTTGTAGTCCCAGTCATTTGCTGATTTTCCTGGTTATGAGCACCTGTCTCTTCAGCTGCTTTGTATAAAAAAGTAGTTAGACGAGATCAAAAGCAAACAGCCAAACAAACAGCTTTTAGCTCTGAGATTGTTAAAACCTTAACCTCCAGAGGTATCAGGGACGGTACCTTCCTTTATGTGCTTTATTAGAATTTTAAGATCCTAAATGGAATAGAGATCTAGAACACACATATAAACAGTGGAGTGTGGAAAACTTACTCACTGCTTCAGACTAAAAAGAGGGTTTTGGAGATTCTTTGCCAGTTACAGTTGTAGAAATGGCTAGGGTGCTGAACACCCGTGTGTGACTGTGCCATCACTCTCCAGTGAATGTCTTCATTCCCCTTCCTCCTCACCTGTTCTCTTCTTCAAAAATATGTGAAGAACTAATACAATGTATGTGTAAGTAATGTAATTTTTTTTTCTTTTTGTGAAACAGAGTCTTGCTTTGTTGCCCAGGCTGGAGTGCAGCGGTGCAATCTCGGCTACTGCAACCTCTGCCTCCTGGGTTCCAACAATTCTCATGCCTCAGCCTCCTGAGTAGCTGGGACTACAGGTGCACATTGCCATGCCCAGCTAACTTTTTAGTTGAGATGGGGTTTTGCCATGTTGGCCAGGCTGGTCTTTAACTCCTAGCCTCAAGCTATCCCCCCACATCTGCCTCTCAGAGTGCTGGGATTACAGGGGTGAGTCATGGCACCTGGCCTTGTGTAAGTAATTTGAGATCCCCTGCCCCCATAAAAGGTTCTCAGAATATAATACAGAATGTATTACTGTGTGTGTATAAAATTAGCCTCAGTTAAGAAAGCCTGTTAAAAAATGGATTTAACTTTTATGGGAAGTGAACTGTCAATTTATAAGATTTTCAGCCACTTATAATTGAAATGCTAAATTGAGTTGATTCCGAGATGCATAATTTCTTTTGCTCCACTTTGTTTATAGCTGGAACAGATGGTGATCAAAATGGACTTGATCATCCATCTGTTGAAGTTTCCCTGGATGAAAACTCAGGAATGTTAGTAGACGGGTTTGAAAGGACCTTTGATGGGAAGCTCAAGTGTCGGTACTGCAACTATGCCAGCAAAGGAACAGCCCGGCTTATTGAACACATCAGAATCCACACAGGTAATGGAAAGACAGCTGGAAAAGGCATTTCTGTGAGGGCAGGAGAGGGGCCAAGGAGGGCAGGTTGGTTTGTCATAGGAGTAGTTTTAATATTCAAAAATGTTTATGTAAAGTTTGAATAAATAGGGAAGTTACTCCGTTTTTACAAAGCAACAGTGTGACAACATACAAACAGGTCAGAAGTGCAGCCCTTTGTAGAGCTTCTCCTTCCTTGGCCATGTTTCTTTTGTGATCCAAATAATCTCTCAGCATCTGTCTGCTTCTGAGATTGGGAAGGTTAATGCTAAAGTACAGTGATGTGATAAAATGTTTCATCTCTATCCTATTACATTTCAGTTGCAGAAAGGGGAAAAGTTTCGGAAAGTATACAGTTGCAGATGGTACTGCTGATCACAGATCTCACCTTAGCTGTCCCTTCTGAGAAACTTTCCCACCTGCATCTGCCCCTGCCCAAGACCAGGTCACATGTCCTTCCTGTGTGCTTCACGGCATCCTGTGCTCATTCACCACATCACCGTGGCCTGAGAGCCTCTTGAGAACAGGGATTGTGACAGGACCATCTTTGTACCCCCAGAGCCTAGGGGGACATCTGACACATACTGATTAATGACTAAATCTCATATGTTTATTTCACATAATTGGGCCGTCTTCAGTTAACAGCATTCACTATAATTATTCCTTCTGGCAGCTGAAGAGTAGGAAGATGGAGAAGCACTAGCAATTTTGAAGGGATACTTTGCATAACTCAGACTAGAAAGCCCATTTCAGTTCTGAGCTTTCGTATAAGGACTTTTCACAAAGCTTTTTTTGTATTTTTTTTTTTCCTGTGAGGAAAGGGTATGTGTATGTGTATATGTGTGTGAATATGAGTGTTTGTATATAAATGTATACATGAACATATGACTGAGACATACTTTTGATAAACTCATTATTATGTAAAACTGTTACTGGAATATTTTTTTATCGCCAAAAACCAAAATATTACTAGAATATTTCAGTTGTGCTGTTTATTCTCTCTAAATGCATTTGAACCCATAACTGTTTTTATACTGTATTGACTAATACAATGTTAGTGCACATCTCAAGTTGTTGCTGATGAGTTATTAAGCTTTGTTTTTGTTTGTGGGTTTCTTTACAAATTTTAAGACTCTCATATGCTATGCAAATATGAATTTCTGAAAGCATTTTCTTTTTGATCAATGCCCAAATCCAATGAATGGACAAGCGAAACTTTCCATAAATGAATTAGTCTTATAGTTTCTCCATCATTTTTCTTTTGAAACAGGTGAAAAACCTCATCGATGTCACCTTTGTCCATTTGCATCTGCTTATGAGCGTCATCTGGAAGCCCATATGCGTTCTCATACTGGAGAAAAACCATACAAATGTGAATTATGTTCCTTCCGCTGCAGTGATCGAAGTAACCTGTCCCATCATCGAAGGCGCAAGCATAAAATGGTACCAATTAAAGGTACTAGGTCTTCCTTAAGCAGCAAGAAAATGTGGGGGGTTTTACAGAAGAAAACAAGCAATCTGGGCTATAGCAGAAGAGCACTAATCAACTTAAGTCCACCTTCCATGGTGGTTCAGAAACCAGACTACCTTAACGATTTTACCCACGAAATCCCAAATATCCAGACTGACTCCTATGAAAGTATGGCAAAAACCACACCAACTGGTGGCCTTCCAAGGGACCCCCAAGAACTCATGGTTGATAACCCTTTGAATCAGCTCTCAACGCTAGCAGGGCAGTTGTCCAGTTTGCCACCTGAAAACCAAAACCCTGCATCCCCTGATGTAGTTCCCTGCCCTGATGAAAAACCTTTCATGATTCAGCAGCCCTCTACCCAAGCAGTAGTTTCTGCTGTATCAGCAAGTATTCCTCAGAGCTCCTCTCCCACAAGCCCAGAACCTCGGCCGTCCCATAGTCAAAGGAACTATAGTCCAGTGGCAGGTCCCAGCAGTGAGCCAAGTGCTCACACAAGCACTCCCAGCATAGGGAACAGCCAGCCCAGCACCCCAGCACCAGCCCTGCCGGTCCAGGACCCTCAGCTTCTGCACCACTGCCAGCACTGTGATATGTACTTTGCAGACAACATCCTTTACACTATTCATATGGGATGTCATGGGTATGAAAATCCTTTTCAGTGTAATATATGTGGATGCAAATGTAAAAACAAGTATGATTTTGCCTGTCATTTTGCAAGAGGGCAGCATAACCAACACTGATTCAAAATAGTCATACTTTACTTAGTTTTGCTGTTTTGTGGTTTTGTTTTTGTCATCTCCTAATAAGGTGTCTGCTAATTTAAGGTTTATACATTATATTTATAGAATATAAATTTGACAGTAGAATAAATTTTTTTTTTTTTCCATAAAAATCTGGTCAGGGTCATTTATATATTAGAACAGTTAGACACATTGGTGTCTCTATTTTCCTTTCCATTAGACATTGGAGAATTGGAGTGCAGTCATACTCTTACAGGGTGTTCATTTGAATTTCTCACATTTATGTAAAACTTCAAGGCTTATCCATACTTTTGATGTTTCAATATACCCCGAACTACATGTTATTTCTGCAATATTTCAAAATGATAGAATAAATTACTTTTTTTAACAGAATTTATTACTACTCATTTCAGTGTTTAGTAGAGAAATTGCCTTAAAAATTGCTGTTAATTGAAAATACTATTTAGTTCACATTGCTTTAGTTGAATCAGTAGTTTCATTTCAACTGATAATAGTAAAGCTATTTCACTGTAGTAAATTTTTCTTTTTTCCACAAGGGGAAATGTAAAACAGTTAAGACTTGAAACTGAAAACTGTTTTAATATTTAAAATAACTTGTTTATTCAGTGTCTAAACACATTTCAGTTTTCCATTGGATCTTTATTTTCACAGGTAAATGCACTAGAGTGTTAGATAGCTTTTTTCCCCCTCGGTTTGACTTTAAATCCTTCATTCTGACATTATTACTGTTAGTAAAGTTGATAACTCTAATGAGAATATCTTATTGTTTCTATTCCTTTGATGACCAAAGAGGTAAAGTGGAAGTCATCCTTATTATTAAAATGCAGTCCTCCAAACAAATTTTGGAAGGTTTCTTTTTCTTCCTTCAATCAATTTATTGCCCATAATTTCCAAGAAAACGTGGGTATAAAAACACATGAGAAAATGTGATAGTGAAGTCATATTTACAAAAATGAGCTTGTCTCCTCTTCGGAAGTAGCCATTTAAAATATTTTGTGAATGCAAATTGTAATTCTTATTTGCAGTTTTACCAGTCTTCGTGAACAGTGACAAAACTGTAGAATCTACATCAACGCCTTAGTGAGAAAGGATCAAAAGGTGTGGAAATGAATATAAAATGCATCTAAACATGACACTGAATTTGTTTATAAAAATAAGAGTAAATATAGAGTAATTGATTTAGGAGGCTGTTGTTTTTATATTGTGTAATAACTCACGTACTCTGAAGAGAGCTTGGTCAAACAATAAAATACATTGTTACTAACTTGGTTTCTGTGTACTTTGCAAAAATTCTATTTTTAATTTTGTTCATATGTTGAATGTGCTCCAAATTGGCATCTTAAAGAGAATAGTAAGCATCTATTAACCAAAAGGACTTCTACCCTTATAATAAACGAAAGGGAAATATTGATGCACAAAAACCCTAAGTGCCAAGTTAATGGATCCTCTGCTTTCCCTTTCAAATGCTAGAAAGCCACTGTAATGAGTTCTTGCAGTTTAGCATCCAGTCTAAGCTACCGCATTGTTTAAAGAGCAGCCTCAAGGACAGTTTCTCCAAACTGTAATTCTCTTTGTCAAATCTTGTACTTTAAAATTCTACAATTCTGTTTCACTGTTGCTTAAATCACTTACTGCTCAGAGCCATTTTGCTGCAGCAGTTTCCAAGTGTTTAACTTGGCTTTAGTATTTATCAGTTGCCAGAAAGAAACAGGTTGTCATTTGGAAGATTTCATGGTTTTTTTTTTTTTCTCCTCATTTTATTCTTTAGATAAAAACAGTACCCCAAAATGGAAAATGAAAATTGTTACGAAGCAAAGAGAAAGAACACCCTTGTTAAAACCAGCTCATTAACTATTCTCAGTCAAATGCATTTTTTTCTAACAACTAAATATGGATGTTTTGAAGGTGCATTTTAATTTAAACATGGAACAGATTTTTTTAATAATTACAAACTAGAATGTAAAATTATAATTTTCCTACAACTTAAAGAGCACAGTTGATATCCCAAAGGTGTTGATGCTTAGAAGCTAGTTATTCTAAATGCACTAAAATTTTTGAGGCAAATCTACCTTAGAAGCTTTTTTGGTATTGTATTTTTAAAAATATTTAGATTTTATTTAAATTTATTGTGAGTTAAATTCTGTATTTGGAAAGATGTTCATGTCTTCCCCTCTGTATTGAATATGTTTCTCATTTTTAAGCAGATATTTTATAGAAATGAGTTGTTGGGAAGAATTTAACATGCACTATTTATAGTACTTTGCCGTTAACAGGCAATGTTCTGAAACTAAATTTATTTTTGTTCAGTGAACATAAGTTTAGATTTTTAAATCTGGTAGATAATTTATCTCCACTAATATTTTTTTAAGAAACTGTGAAGATAACAGGGAATAATTTTATTTCAGATTTTACTAATGTAGTATGTAGCTACAACTTCTTGAAATTCAAGTTAAGGCTAGACTTATACTTTGAAAAAATTCCACTTGGTGTTTCCAGGGCTATTTCATTTTAGAAATAAGTGTTTGCCATTCATCTGCAAAAAGTGGACAAGGGGAATATTACAAAAAATATTCAGAAATAAACCTCATTTTAAGTTCTACAAAATATTTATCAAATGAATGTTAATAACTTTAATTCCCTGCTAAAGACGTTTTCATTAGTCTTACAGGGTATATGCTTTCTAGAACTTGTTTTTGTTAACATGTGCTTTGATGTAAAGAACATATTTTGTATGCAAAACATAACGCATTATGGTTGTAAAATACACTATATTGTTTAGGGATTCCAGAAAGCAGTTTAATGCTGAAATAACCATATCTAGTATGCAGTTCATATTGTCAATGAAGCTTTGCTTTTGTAATAAATAAAAAAGACTTTCTAATGACCTTGATTTTTCTTCTTTTGGAAAACAGGATTAAATTAGTGTTTTAGTAATTGTCTGCTAGTAAAATGTTAATGAAAGAAATAGATTTTATGGTCATAGTGCTTTGAATTTCTAAAATGTCTTAACTTCAGAAGATCTATCATGAGTTAAAAACCAAAGAGCTCCATACATCCCTAACTTGTCTCCCTCCTAGTTTCCTCTCTTTATTCAAGGTCTATTTGACTTGACCCCTGTCCCCCAATCCCTACCCTAAGTGTTCTGGCACATGAGGAAGGCCGCCTCTGCGCTTAATTATCCACATCTCATCTGACAAGTGACTGACTCACTTCAGCATTATTAGCCTAGAAAACCAATTGTAATACAATACTGTTGTTTTAACAGATTTGCAGAAGGTTACCAAAATGAGACATTTGATTGGCAATTCAGAAATTTTAATGCTGCTTTGAAAAATACTTCTGTACAATATTATCTTTCTCATAATGAAAAAAAGAAATGACATCTGATACATCAGTGGTTTGTTGAAAGCACAGATATTTTTTGTTTCCTTGTTTTAGGTCTTCCAAAAACTCAGCTTTGAGCTTGTTAAGTTCTTCTGCTAGAAGCTTCAATTTGTAAGGAAGCACTCGTTCATCTAAAAAAGATATTCTCAAATTACTGGTGTAAATTAAAGTAATCTGGGGTGTCTAATGACACTAGGAAATTAATTTGATTACTTTAGACAAACCAGTCAGATTCTATAAACAATCACAACTGAATTGGTGTAATATAAAGACAAAAGGTCATAATGTGATGAGAGTCAAAAATCATCTGAAACAAGTCAGATTTAAATAACTTGTTAGGAAACGTGAGCAGAAAAGATTAACCTGAAAGGGACTTTTTGTTGTTGTTGCCAAGAAAAATCAAGACAGTTGACTTAACTGCCTTACTGAATTAAGCAGACAGGCAAAAAAGCAGAAACAGAAGATGGCAGTTTGGTTTTGAACCTGGTAAATAATGCCTAGAACAGTAGTTGTCCAACATAACTTTGTGCAATGATGGACCTCATCTATATCTGCTGCATCAAATACAGCAGCCACTAGCCACACATGGGTACTATTACTGAGAAGCTGAATTTTATTTTTTTGTTAGCTTTATCAGGATATAATTCACATACAATTTACCCATTTAATCTCTGTAATACAGTAGGTTTTTAAATATATATTTACAGATATGTACAACCATCACCAGTTAATTTTAGAACATTTTCATCATCTGAAAAACCCATATCCTGATGGCTCACGCCTGTAATCCCAGCACCAAGGGAGGCTGAGGCAGGCGGATCACCTGATGTCAGGCGTTTGAGACCAGACTGGCCAACATGGCAAAACCCCTCCATTACTAAAAATACAAAAATTAGCAGGGCATGGTGGCACATGCCTGTAATCCCAGCTACTCGGTAGGCTGAGGCAGGAGAATCGCCTAAACCTGGGAGGCAAAGGTTGCAATGAGAAGAGATCGTGCCATTGCACTCCAGGTTGAGCAACAGAACAAGACTCCATCTCCAAAACAAAAACCCACATCCTTTAGCTATCATTCTCCTAACCCCCTTCCCTTCTGCCCACCCCCAATCTCTAAGCAACCAAACATACACTGTCTGTCTGAAGATTTCCCTGTTCAGGACATTTCATGTGACTGGAAGTATACGTTTACTTGGTCTTTTGGGACTGATTTCTTGTACTTTGCATCGTTTTCAAGGTTATTCCATACTGTATAGCATGTATCAGCATTTCATTCCTTTTTATGGCTGAATAATATTTCCTTGTATGGATACACCAAATTTTGTTTATCCATTTGTCAGCTGATGCACATTTGGGTTGTTTTCATATTTTGGCTATCATGAATAATGCTGCCATAAACATTTGTGTACAAGTTTTTGTGTGAACATGTTTTCATCTCTCTTGGGTATACACCTGGGAATGAAATTGTTGGGTCACATGCTAACTGTATGTTTGAGGGACTGCTAGCTGTTTTCCAAAGCAGTTGTACCATCTGACACTTCACATTCTCAACAACACTTGAATGTTTTAATTCTAGACCTCCTAGTGGGTGTGAAGTGCTGTCTTACGGTTTTGATTTGTATTTCCCTGATGACTGATTTGAGATGAGCATGTGTTCCTGTGGTTATTGGCTGTTTGTATATCTTCCTTGGAAAAATGTCTACTCAGATCCTTTGCCTTTTTTAAAAAATTGGGTTGTGTTTATTATTTAGTGGTAAGAGTTCTTTATATATTTTGGATACAAGTCCCTTATGAGATATATGTCTGTAAGTATTTCTCCAATCTATGGGTTGTCTTTTTACTTTCTTGATGATAGGGGAACTGAATTTTTCTTAAGCACAGATCTAGAAACTACTACTACCTCCCCTCACCTAAAAAATATATATGTGTGTTTTTTTTGTTGTTGTTGTTGTTTTGTTTTTTTGGTTTTTTTTTGAGACAGATTCTTGCTCTGTCTCCAGGCTGGAATGCAGTGGCATGATATCGGCTTACTGCAACCTCTACCTCTGGGTTCAAGCGATTCTCCTGCCTCAGCCTCCTGAGTAGCTGGGACTACAGGCGCACACCACCACACCCAGCTAATTTTTGTATTTTTAGTAGAGACAGGGTTTCACCATGTTGGCCAGGAGGGTCTTGATCTGATCTCTTGACCTTGTGATCCACACGCCTTGGCCTCCCAAAGTGTTGGGATTACAGGCAGGAGCCACCATGCCTGGCCTATCTGTATGTTTTTAAATGGGTGGGATATAAGAGTGAATTGGGCATAACCCTATTCCCGACAACCCCCCAGGACCTCATTTCATTTTATAGGCAGAAAAGAAGAAAGGCAAATGGTTGAGTGAGAACTCCTGGAATTTACTAATTTATTTATTGAAACTGAGTCTCACTCTGTCACCCAGGCTGGAGTGTAGTGGCGTGATTTCAGCTCACTGCAGCCGCCACATCCCAGGTTATCTATCTATCTATCTATCTATCTATCTATCTATCTATCTATCAATCATTTATTGAGATGGAGTCTTGCCCTGTTGCCCAGGCTGGAGTGCAGTGGCATGGTTTCAGCTCACTGCAGCCTCTGTGCCCCAGGTTCAAGCAATTCGTTACTGCCTCAGCCTTCTGAGTAGCCGGGATTACACACACACGTGCCTCACCATGTCCAGGTGAGTTTTGTATTTTTAGTAGAGACAGGGTTCCACCATGTTGGTCAGGCTGGTCTCAAACTCCTGACCTCATGATCCGCCCACCTCAGCCTCCCAAAGTGCTGGGATTACTGGCGTGAGCCAACATGCCTGGCTCTGTTTTTATTTTAATGATGATGCAGTTTCTGTTTCGGTCCTCTGTTTCTTAAACTTTGTATTGTAACCCATTAGTAAGTGGCAACTGGTGTTTTTCTAAAATGAAATCAAATAGAACATAGAGTTCATTAAACATGTGAAGGTGTTTTGTGAAACTTGTTTCCACACATGCGTTTGTGTGCTGGGTTAGACACTGGGTTACAACAAAATCAACTTGTACAACATGGTTTTATAAAAGTTTGAAAATGGTATGGCTAGTATATTGTTTCCTTTTCCCATGTTCTAAGTTTTGTAAAGATAATAAATGATGATGATACAGGGCAGCAGAATGGGAGGCTCAGAGTGGAACTGGATGTAATTCTGGACCCCAGGTTACCCAAATATGTAGTAGCTGTTCAGTCTTGGGACAAGTTACTTGGTCCTCTGTGAACCTCCCTTTCCCCATTTGTACAATTACATGTACCTTATAGGACTGTGAAGATTACAAACAATATTTGTAAGGCACTTAACGTATACAAAGGTGTTCAAAAAATGCTAGTTGCTGGCTTTTAAAGATACAATTTTAAATATAACAATACAGTATTCAAAACCTAATGGAATTATTGCATAAAACTATAGTTACCACATAGTTCATCTATTATATAAATTCAGATTTAAAATACATTGATTTTATTCAAATTCCATGCTGATCTGACACCTGGCCCCTGACTACCTCTCCCCCTTTCTTACTTCACGCCATGCTCAATGGCCTCTCTCTGATTCTGTAACATTCCAAACAACCAGCTTCTGGGCTTCTGCACTTGATGTGTTCATTGCCTAGAATGGTCCTCCAGATACCTGGACGGTTTGTTCTTTCTCTTCTTTTACATCTTTGCTTAAATGTCATCTCTGAGAAGCCTTCCTGATTACCCTTTTAAAAGCATATCCTCCCATCACTCTACACTGCCTTACCCTACATCTTCTTCAGAGCATGAGTGTATACTCATGTAATTATGTTCTGTCTGTCTCCTCATTAGAATGTTCTGCTCCCTGCCGATTCCCCAGCATCTAGAGTAAAGCCTAGTATAGTAAGACCACTCAGTAAAAATTTGTTGAATGAACACTCAGTTCCAGAGGTAGAATTTTTAATTATATTTAGTCAAATTGTATAATTAAACTGAAAACATGATGTGAACTTTTATGATTGAAAACTAATAAACTCGGAGTGTCAGGAATAACAGTGGCAGCAGAAAGTCACAATCGTACTAACTCAACACATAACTGACACATCATACCTTTTGCTTCCTTCATTGTCTGAGATACAATTCTTCGGAGTGTCACATCAGCTGTATGAAGAATGTTTGTTGAACAAATAATTCTGTCTGTGTCCTATGTAATACAGACATTGTTACTTAGAAGTCACCTAATTTTATAAAATAAATGGCTAAAGCATAGGTCACAAGTATTTGAAGGGACGAAAAGAAAAGTTTAAGTAGCTTTTCTGTTGTTATTCTTCCCTACAAGAGAGTCCAGACAAATCAGATCCAGTGGTAAACTGGGTTCGGGCTAGGCGGTGATATGCTGGTGAATGTCTAATAAATGACTTTTCTGGAAAAAAAACCCAGACCTATCTGTAATGTTTGCCAATTTCTGTGGTGAAAACAATCCTACCAACAAAATATCAACAGGCTCCAAAACTTCTGAAAGTTTAACGATCGGCTTTGGCCAGCCAGCATCAGCTGCTAGCAGTGAGTGCTGGTGAGGGGCCAAGCCAGTGGCAACACGTGTCATGTTTCACTCATATTTTATATTCCGCTCTAAAGATCTCCCTACAAAATGTTGTTCCTTCTTATTTACATTAAATCTACACGGGAAGCTTTACCTTTTGTTCCAGATTGTCCTCAGCATATTTTACTGGATTTTCCAAAGCAGTGAGCAATAAATCAGTCACCTCCAGGCTACAGAGAAAATGGGACAAAATACAATAAATCCTTATATTGAACATCTGACTTTTAAAGAACTTGTATTTATGAATACTAAACTGAATTATAGAGGAATGAAATGGCTATAACCCAAGATCCTTAACAAAAGGAAAAAAACTGAATGATTTAGAAGCTACCTTCCATATAGAAAATCCAACTGCAGCAACTCAAAACTAATGATAAGTCAAAGGCCCCTCATTAAATATATCAATTTCCTACAACTCACGTCAAAAAGCTTTGAAAAGTCATTCCCCCTTCCCCTCTTAAGGCTGAACTGGGGGCTACCAGAGCTCGATTTTATTCCCTAAGATGCTTGGTCTTTACTTTCTGGCTCCCGCTTATTTACTGGATATGGATGAGCAAAGTTCCTCACTGAGCAAGGGTTCATGAAGGTTTGAGATAGAATCCATTCATCCATTTAACAAATGTTTATTGAGCATATTATATGAAAAATACTGTGCAACTAACTACATGCTGAGCTGGGGGTGTAGCAAGATCCTTGCCTTTGCCAAAGTTGATAATGTAACAGAGACAGATAAACAGTAAAATAAAGCAAAAAGAATTTCAGATAGTGGTAAGTAGATAAGTGAGAGAAGATGATAATGTGACAATGACAGGAGTGACAGGGTAGCCAACTAACATTCTTTGCTTTACTTAGGGTGGTCAGTGAAGGCAGTCAAGTATAAATATGTGGGACGGGCAGAGGGGGCAGCAAGTGCAAGGGCCCCAGGGCAAGAACAGGCTCCTGGTGTTCCTGCAATAGAGAAGGTTGAAAAGAAGCAAGGCGGGAGAGGGCTAGACTATGACGTTGGAGAGTTAATCTGGGTTAGAACATGTAAGTTAGGGTAAGGAGTTTGAGTTTTACTCAGATTACAGGGGGAGCACTAAAAAGTTTTAAGCGAGTGAGCTCATCAAGTTAAAGCTCAACCTCAAGATGATCTTCCTCACACTGAAAAGAGCTGAGGTTCTGTAGTGAGTGAGATCCCAGTGGGTCCAAATCTTGGCTCTGCCACTTCCTACCTGGGTATATTACTTTACTTATCTGGGTCTCAGTTATGGCATCTATAAAATGGGGATAATAGTTTCTCCCCTTAAAGTGTGGTTGTGAGGACTGAATGAGACCATACATATAAAGTGTTCAGAGCTGGGAGATAAATTTGAGTTTTACTGACTACTTAGCCAGTGATCACTAGCTAGTTTTCATATCCATGCCCTTTTGTTCTATTTAGTCTGTTTTTTTTAAAGACAGGGTTTCACTATCATCCAACCTCAAACTCTTGGGTTCAAGTGATCCTCCCCTCTTGGCCTCCCAAGTGCTGGGATCACACTGTTAGCCACTGTACCCAGCTTGTTTACAGTCTTAAATGGGGTAAAGCATAGCAAATATATTTTTAAGGGAACTATAACCTTAAGATTACTAAAAAGAATTTCAAAAGGAATTATAGACACTGTTCCCAATGTAACCCAAAATTTAAGAAAATATTAGTTGACGTGGTAGCTCATGCTTGTTATCCCAGCAATTTGGGAGGCCAAGTTGGAAGAATTGCTTGAGGTCAGGAGTTTGAGACCAGCCTGGGCAACATAGTGAGACCCTGTTACTATAAGAAATTTAAAAATTAGCTGGGCTTGGCAATGTGGGCCTGTCGTTCCAGTTACTTAGGAGACGGAGACAGGAGAATTGCTTGAGCCCAGAAGGTCGGGGCTGCAGTGAGCTGATATTGATCCCCCGTGGACAATATGCAGGAACTAAAGAAATGTGGGCAATATACCTCTAAAACTGCACAGTCCAGTACAATAGCCACTATAACCATGAGACTATTTGGGTTTAAATTAATAAGTTAAACAAAAAATTCAGGTCGCCAGTTGCACTAGCTACTTTTAAGAGCTCAACAGTCAAAATACGGCTAGCAGCTACCATATTAGTGCAAATACAGAGTATTTCCATTGCCAGGAAAATTTCTGCTAGAAATACACTGCTCTACAACTCACAAGACATATATAATGAATAAAATGCATTAGACAGCATAGCCTACAAGCCTGACATATATAAAAGCAACATAACTATAGTGAGCTCTAAGGCAAATTAGGACCCAGTATCAGTTCTGCTCTTTAACAGATTTCTTTCTATAAGAAAACCACCAGGCAACCTATTTAGACTATTTTAAAAAAGAATAAAAGATGTGTTCTTTGAATTTCCTGCTCTAACCCCTGGAAGACAGTATCATCCTAACAGTTAAGAGCAGACATTTGTAAATAAACTTGGGTTCAAATCTCAGCGCTCATTTACAAGCTCAGTGGACAAACTAAATTTTCCCATTTCACTTTTGGCTTCCAGACAAAGGGGGAAATAATCTCTCTCCAATGCCTGTGTGAGGACTAACTAAGCCAATACAGATAAAGCACTGACCCTGGTACCTGGCACAGGGCAGCATCCAGGGAGGGATGACTTTGAGTGGAATACCTGGCCCCTGAGGCACACACTGGACTCTGCAGTGTGAGGCTGTTGTGTTCCCAGGCATTTTTCTCAGGGTTGGGCTTTTCCAGCTTTCTTCCCATCAGGCGGATGGTCTCAGCAGGCAGTGCTCGTGGCCTCTGGCCATTCCTCTGTAAACAGGTCTCAAGAGGACAATCTAAAAAGAGCTGGCAAAAGCCCAATGAATCTGAAAACAGTTTAAAATGACAGAATTACTGGTATACTTTCCAAAATATAAAATAAACATGTATCAAATTATGACAATTATAGTAGGAAAAACTCCATTTGCAATACTGAACATCTAGCTTTTAAAATTAAGTACATCTACATAACCTCCTAATCAAGTTAAATTCTCATTGAAGACAGTAGTGTTTATGATATGTGAGTAAGTATCTCCATGTGTAAGAAAAAAAGTTTTAATTACATTTCCGAGCCAGTTGGTAGACTTCATATCTCATACTTTGATAATAAAAATTGTCATCCAAAACCAAAAATAAAGGTCTAGAAACAGCAGTTTTTGTTAAGAGGTAGCAAGACTGGGCCTCAAATGCTGCATTAAGTATCAGATCTTGATCCTTTAAGCAGGTTATAAAATCTTCCCACATGGCTTCAGTCCTGTTGGGTGGGGCAGACATCTGACACCCATTAATCACAGCCATCAAGAAGTATTCCAGGTACTTCAACAGTTCCTGTCGAAGCAATTTCCATTGGGATGGCTACAAGAGACCAAAGAATTGCAATTCTTATTAGGCCACTAGGGTGGTTGCTCATCTGGTCTCACTGCCACCCTGCCCCATATGAACATTTCAGCTCACAATATGGAACCATTTGTAGTTCTCCAACACACCTGGTTTCTCATGCCTCCATATATATATACCATTCCTTCTGCCTGGAAAACTAATGATACTAGTGCTGTGTAAATCTTTCTCAGACTCGAGCATGCAGAAGGCAGCTCAGCCTCTCCCTTGCCCATCCCGACACCCCATTCTGTACATATATCTCCACTCTAGCAGTGCTTACACAGTTTAAGCATTTGTACACTTCTCTCTCTGCTAGAGCACTGTCCATTGTATACTGAGCCTCCAGCGGAGGGTCTGGCACCTAACAGGTGCTCCAAAAATGTATATTAAATGGATGAATGACTGAATGACCGAATGAGTGAAATAAATGAAAGAATTTACCATCCAGGAGAATGGTGGAGTCAAAATCAACATCCTGCCAAAATAGTCTGGCTAAGATATAACAATGCTGGTTTTCCACTGAAATGAGAAAGGCGGGAGACAGCAAAAAGATCAGGTGAAAAGTCCCTGGGTGCACGGTGGCTCTTGCCTGTAATCCCAGCACTTTGGGAGACCAAGGCGGGCGGATCACGAGTTCAAGAGATGAAGACCACCCTGGCCAACATGGTGAAACCCGTTTCTACTAAAAATACAAAAATTAGCCGGCCGTCGTGGGGCGTGCCTGTAGTCCCAGCTACTTGGGAGGCTGAGGTAGGAGAATCGCTTGAACCTGAAAGGCGGAGCTTGCAGTGAGCTGAGATCATGCCACTGCACTCCAGACTGGTGACAGAGCAAGACTCCATCACAAAACAAAAAAGAAAACAAACAAATAAGTAAAAATCAAGTCCATAGTTCAAGAAGACCTCATGCTAACAAATAAGTTGTTATGCGATGGGGAAAGATGGAGGAAAGAGACTGAGGAGAATAAGCAGCTGGAGAATACAAAGTAACCTTGCGTTGGTCAAGGACTGTGGTCCTGACATAGTTAAGAAATCTAAGCTGGAGGGAAAACAGGAGGACAGGAGAGTGAGAACTCTCACTTGTCTGCCCATGCCTTACCACCTCGCTGAGATTACACTACATACAACAAACAGATCAGCTAAACCCACTAAATTAGAAACATATATCACTTCCTAAGAGGTGAGCAGATGAATCCCATGGTCTTTGTAGGAAAACAGCGGAAAAAACACATAATACAAGTGAAGGGAAAGTCAGCAAATACAACAATCCGTATCGACAACTTTGAGCTTTCTCCCAAGTGGTGAAAATACCATCATCCAAGTCAATCCTGCGCTATCTTGACACTGTACTTACTTCACAATTAACCAAGAATGAGAAAGTAGACACACTTTGCTGGACAGCCCACATACCAAATGTACTGTATTTTTGTATATATACTTAAGAGAGTGGAGTCAGATAACATTTGCATTTGATTTCTGTCAATTCATCTACATCAGGCATTAAACAACAAAAATAAGAATGTTTAAATTTCAGAATATTTCAAAGATATTGAGTGAGCATGAGATGAAAGACACCGATGTATCTACTCTTCCCCGAGCAGTCTGTTTCCACATGCTTCTCCATGACGATGCATCTCACCGTGCTGAGTGTGAGAAGAGGAGGGCTTAAAGAGATGTACTTGGAACATACAAGCTGGTCCGTAAATACAAGCCCATTATTTCCTCTGGTGGTCAACTAAGAAACAGCCATCTTTTCCAAACCTGGCAGAGGCAGAGTTACTCTGAGTTGAACAAAGGTTGAGCTTCATAGGTCTGATAATGTGTTTGTACAGCCTCTTTCTACCGTTCTGAGGGATCCTAGCAATTTTGCTACTTAAAATTTGTATTCTTTTTCTTAAAGAGGGTTCCTCAAATTATAAAACCTGAATTCACCAGTGGCTAGACGTTAAAGTTTTAGACATTATTTCCCTCTCCCAAGGAGAAACTTCCCCAGGGATTTTCAACAGTGCATTTGACTACAGAGGCTTTCCACCTTGCACGCTGACTTGAGAACCTGACCCTGTCTTAAGACTGAACTGTATAGAATATTCAATATATACATGCGTCAAATATACAGATAAGCCTCTACAATGCGTCGTTCTAACACAGTTGGCTTTGTAACTATGGCACACTTCTACAGCCAACGCATTCACCCTCTGCAGTAACTATGTTAACTCAGCTCCACTTTTCTCGAACTTCACCTCCCACATCAAGCACGGTCTAGGGCGCAGTGGGGGCTCATGGCAAATAATCACCCAGGGCCCACCGACGCGAGGGGTCCCGCCCTGCCCCTGCCCCTGCCCTCCATACTGACCGCCGGGAGAGCGCTTGCCCCGGCGAGAAACGCGTCTGGCATGACGTCATCATACGCGACGACGCCGACGGCCCAGCCCTGCTCCTGCCGCAGCCTGTGGGCGAGGGCGCGCGCGAAAGTCGATTTTCCTGCCGCGGGGAGGCCGCAGAGGACGCAGAGGCCTCGTTTCAGCGGCCCGTCGCTGCCGGTTCCTCTGGAGTTCTCGGCGGTCTTCATGCTGCCCGGGGCAGACCGGAGGAGCCTGCGAGCGTCGCCTCCGAGCCACCGTCTTCCCAGTGCGCACGCGCAGTGTCTCCGCCGCCTGCCGGCGCAGTGGAGGAACAGGCGGCGGCGGAGTTTCCTTCCGTGCGGCCCCCGCGGCCCCAGCTGCGCCGACGCCCAGTTGCTCCTGCGGACCGGAAGCTGAGGGGACCGCGGCGCTGCGTTCCTCGCCCCTGGACATTCCCAGAGAATCCCAGCGTCAGGATTAATCTTCAAACAGAATGACCCTGTCTGCCGAAAGTTGCCGGTCAGCAGGATTGGCGCCTCCGTTTTATTAAGATGAGGTCGTTCTGCTCAGGAAAATCCCAAAAGAGACGTTGAGCCTTTCCCTCCAGCAGTCTTTAGAAAATAAGTTACTGGAAATCAAAGACTAGGAGGCGAGGCTGACAGTCCGACCACCGCGCTCCTCTGCAGTTCCCAGATGGGAAGAGTGCAAGGGCAAAGTAAACCTTTGTTATTGTGCCACCAGTGGGCAGCAAGCCTGAAAAAATATGGTCGGGAAAGGCACGTCCTTAGACGTCAATTCCAGTGCACGCAGGCAGAGAACAATAGGTGTTTATGTTAAAAAGTTATAGTAAGCTATGGAGAGGTATGAAATAATTTTCTCTTTTGTTTGGGGGTGGTCTTGTAGAAAACTGAATTCAGATTCTACTTTCAACCTTATATTTTAGGGGATAAGTCCTTCTTATCTGTAAAGAGTATGTTCAAAAGGTGAACACCTGAGGACAGAAGCGGTGAATACTGGGTCAAAATCTGACCAATAACCTCCTGCTAAAGCTGATATAATTTCTGATTACAAAGCACATACAAATCTCATTTCCCTTTTGTACTGAAAGTGAAGAGCAATGAGTTAAACTCACTCTTCATTTCATGACATTTGGTTATTGGTCCAATATAAGGTCCCTCTCCCTAATTTGTCCCTCCCGCACTTTTTTAAGAGACAGGGTTTTGCTTTGTCACCCAGGCTGGTGTGCAACATAGCTCACTGTAACCTCGGATTTCAAGGCTCAAGCGATTCTCCTACCTCAGCCTCCTGAGTGGCTGGAACTGTAGGTAACGGCCACTGAGCCTGGCTTTGGTGTCTTCTGTCTCCCATCCTCCACACCCATACCCTTTTAACACCTGCAGGCAACCATTTTTTTTTTTCTTATCATAGTTATTTTTGCTTTGGTTATGTATCTTTTTTAATAGGCTTTATCTTTTAGAGCAGTTTTAGGTTCACACCAAAATTGAGCAGAAAGTAGAGTTCTCATAAACTCCCTCCCTCCTTATTCATAACCTCCCCCACAATCAACATCCTTCACATACATTTGTTATAATCAGTTATCAATAAACCTACATTGACACATCATTATCACCTAAAGGCCATAGTTTACTATTGGTATTGGGGTTTACTCTTGGTGTACATTCTGTAGGTTTTGGCTATGTAAATGACAAGTATCCATCAGTACGGAATACTCTCACAGCCCTAAACAATGTGCTCCGCCTGTTCATCCCCCCCCCTCCTCTAACCCCTGGCACTGCAGATTTTGTGTGTGTGTCTCTAGTTTTGCCTTGTCCACAATAATATATAATTATATATATAATCGTAGTTCACAGCCTTTTTAATTTGCTTCTTTCACTTAGTAATATGCATTTAAGGCTCCTCTTTTTATGGCCTGATGGTGCATTTCCTTTTAGCCATGAGTAACATTCCAGTGTCTGGAGGTATCATAGTTTAGTTTTCCATTCACCTGCTGAGGGATATCTTGGTTGCTTCCAAGATTTGGCAATTATGAATAAAGCTGCTGTAAACCTCCATGTGCAGGTTTTCGTGTGGACATAAGTTTTCAACTTATTTGGGTAAATATTACACCAAGGAGTGCGATTGCTGTGTCATACAATAAGAGTATTTAGTTTTTTAAGAAACTGCCAAGCTGTCTTCCAAAGTCGTACGATTTTGCATTCCGAGCAGCAGTGAATGAGACTTCGTACTGCTCAACATTCTCCCTTGTATTTGGTGTTGTCAATGTTTTGGATTTTTGTCATTCTAATAAGTGTGTAGTGGTATCTCATTGTTCTTTTAGTTTGCATTTTCTTACTGACATATGATATTAAGCATCTTTTTTCTTTTCTTTTTTATGTGAGAATCTTGTTCTGTCACTCAGGCTGGAGACAGATCATGGTTCAATGCGGCGTCAACCTCCCAGGCTCAAGTAATCCTTCTGCTTCAGATCCCTGAACAGCTGGGACTACTTTTTATTTTTGTAGAGATGAGGTCTCCCTATGTTGCTCAGGCTGATCTTGAAATCCTGGGCTCAAACAAACCTCATGCCTCAGCCTTCCAAAGTGCTAGGATTACAGGTGTGAGCCACCATGCACAGCCTTTTCATATGCTTAACTGCCATCTGTACATCTTCTTTGGTGAGGTGCCATTCAGATCTTTTTGCCTATTTTATTTACCACTTTTGAGATGGGATCTCACTGTATTGCCCAGGCTGGTTTCAAACTCCTGGGCTTGAGCATTCCCCACCCAGAGGGCTGGGATGACAAGCATGTACCATTATGCCTACCTTCCTTTTGCCCATAAGTTGGGTTGTTTTCTTATTGCTGAGTTTTAGTGTTCTTTATATATTTTCGATAACAGTCCTTTACAAGATCCCTGTGGCAAATACTTGCTCCCAGTCTAAGGTTTATCTTTTCATTCTTGTCACAGTGTCTTTTAGAAAGCACCAGTTTTTAATTTTAATGCTCAGTTTACCAATTACTTCTTTCATGCATCATAGGTGTTTTATCAAAAAATAATAATAATAATCACCAAGCCCAGTCTTCTAGATTCTCTCTTATATTATCCTCTAGTCTTATAGTTTTGTGTTTTAAAGTTTGTTCTATGATCCATTTTGAGTTAACTCTCGTGAAGGAGTTAAAGTCAGTGTGTAGGCCGGGCACGGTGGCTCAAGCCTGTAATCCCAGCACTTTGGGAGGCCGAGGCAGGTGGATCACGAGGTCAAGAGATCGAGACCATCCTGGTCAACATGGTGAAACCCCGTCTCTACTAAAAATACAAAAAGTTAGCTGGGCATGGTGGTGCGTGCCTGTAATCCCAGCTACTCAGGAGGCTGAGGCAGGAGAATTGTCTGAACCCAGGAGGCGGAGGTTGCGGTGAGCCGAAATCGCGCCATTCCACTCCAGCCTGGGTAACAAGAGCAAAACTCCGTCTCAAAATAAAATAAAATAAAATAAAATAAAGTCAGTGTGTAAATTTGATTTTTTCTGATGTAGATTTCAAAAGTTGAAAAGACTGTTTTTTTGTCCACTGCATTGCCTTTGCTCCTTTGTCAAAGATCAGTTGGCTGTATTTATGTGGGTCTGTTTGTGGGCTCTCTATTCTGTTCATTGATCCATTTGTCTATTCTTTTGCCAATATCGCACTATCTTGATTACTATAGCTTTATAATAAATCTTGCAGTCAGTACTGTCACTCTTCTAGTTTTGCTCCTTCTCCTTTAATATTGTGTTGGCTAGCCTAGGTCCTTTGCCTCACTGCATAAACTTTAGAATCACTTTGTTGATATCCACAAAAGAGCTTGCTGGGATTTATTGAGAGACTGTGTTGAATCTATAAATCAAGTTAGGAAGAACAGACATCTTGACAATATTATTTCTATTCATGAACAAGAAATATCTTCTATTATTTCTTTCATCAGAGTTTTGTAGTTTTTCCTCATACAGATCTCATGCATATTAAAAAAATTTTATACCTAATAAAAAGTTTTAAGTTTGAGTATTTCATTTTGGGGGGTGTTCACGTAAGGTATTCTGCTTCCAATTTCAAATTTCACTAGTTCATTGCTGGCATTAAGTAGTTCATTTTTATATCTTGACCTTGTATGCTGCAACTTTGCAATAATCATATATTAGGTCTAGATTTTTTTTATTGTGGATTTAAAATTTCTGCACAATCATGTCATCTGCAGACAAAGTTTTATTTCTTCCTTCCCAATATGCATACCTTTTGTCTTACTTTGCTAGGACTTCCAGTATGATGTGGAAAAAGTGGTGAGAGAGCACATTCTTGCCTTGTTACTGATCTTAGTGGAAAAACCTCTAGTTTGTCACCATTAAGTATAATGTAAGCTGTAGGTGTTTTTGTAGATAGTTACCAGGTTGAGGAAGCACTCCTCTATTCCTAGTTTCCTGAGGTTTTTTATCATGAATGTCTGTGGGATTTTGTCAAATGCTATTTTTTTTTGGCATCGATTGATATCATTATGTGACTTAATTTTTTAATGTTTTGATAAGATGGATTGCATTAATAGATTTTCAAATAGACTAGCTTTTCATGCTTGGAGTAAAACCCACTTGGTGGTTGTATGAAATTGGATACATTTTAAAATTCAATTTGCTAATATTTTATTGAGGATTTTTACATCTATATGGATACAAAAGAGATATTTATAGGTACAAGAGAAGTATTGGTCTAGTGTTCTTTCTTGTAATGTCTTTGACATCTGGGCAATTCTGGCCTCATAGAACAAGTTAGAAGGTATTCCTTTTGCATCTATCATCTGAAAGAGATTGTAGAGAATTGGTATAATTTCCTCAAATGTTTTGTAGAATTTGCCAGGTAATTCATCTGACTTCAATTATCTTTTCAATAATCTATTTGGGGAAAACAATGTTTAGTTCTCTATAAAAACATAATGCTTTGTATTTCAGATTTCCAAAATGAACCACTGTAACTTCAAAGTTAGGTGTCTACTATCTAAAAAGACATGCTTCTCAAGAATAGGTCAAATATAAGCATGTGACATTGACATGTAGCCATAATTATAGTTTGCTCTTGAATTTGTAAAACTTTCCTTACAGACCTCAGTCTCACCTGAGGCTCAGAAAAGGACAATAGTGTTATTACATATTTACTGGATATATAGTTCTCTTAAATTAGCAAGGTGCAGCCAGGCATGGTGGCTCATATCTGTAATCCCAGCACTTTGAGAGGCTGAGGTGTGAGGATCACTTGAGGCTAGGAGCTCCAGACCAGCCTGGGCAACAA